CAGGCTGGAGTGCAATGGCGCAAGCTCGGCTCACTGCAACCTCTACCTCCCGGGTTCAAGCAATTCCCCTGCCTCAGCCTCCTGAGGAGCTGGGACTACAGATGCACACCACCACACCTGGCTAATTTTTTGTATTTTAGTAGAGGCAGGGTTTACTATATTGGCCAGGATGGTCTCTATCTACTGATTTCATGATCCGCCCACCTCAGCCTCCCAAAGTGCTGGGATTACAGGAGTGAGCCACCGCGCCTGGCCTTTTGCCTTTTTAAGACAAGGTCTTGCTCTTTTACTCAGGCTGGAGCACAGTGATGTGATCATGGCTCACTGCAACTTCTGCCTCCTGGGCTCAGATGATCCTCCCACCTCAGCCTCTTGAGTAGCTGGGACCACAAATGCATACCACTATGCCCAGCTGATTTTTGTGTTTTTGTAGAGACAAGATTTTGCCACGTTGCCCAAGCCAGTCTTGAACTTCTGGCCTCAAGCTCTCCTGCCTCAGCCTCCCAAAGTACTGGGATTACAGGCATGAGCCACCACCTGGCCAAAGTGCTTTTGAACATTTTGGGGTAGGAGAGCAGAGGAGTTGGGGGAAGAATCATAAAGGGGCAGGAGTAAACTTTTTGGGATGAAGGATATGTTCAGTGTCTTAATGGTGATGGTGGCTTCTTAAGTATATACATATGTCAAACTTATCAGATTGTACCCTTGAAATACGTGTAGTTGATTATATGTGTCCCTTATGCCTCAATAAATCTGTAAAGTATGTGATCCATGGCCTATGGGCATTGTTTTAGCCACTGATTCCTTATTCATACAAAAGCTTATGGGAAGCTCAATACATAACATAGACATAGCTGAGGTTGCTTCGGTTCAGTGGTAGGGTGGGGGTGGGGGTTCTGGACCCAATCCACTCAGAATCCCCCCTGTCCCTCACAGGACCCCAAGTCATCTCCCCAGGGCTCCACAGAAGCTGATTTGAAAAACACTAGCCCAGAGGACTCTGATGACCCTGCCAGCTTGGGTGTTCAGGATGTAAGAACCTCCAGGCCTCAATCTGGCCTCCTCCCCATCCCTACCCTTCATCACATATGGATCCTACACACAACTACTTTCTGTCCCCAGAGACTCGGGGCAGCTTCCCCTGGGTTCCTGCTGTTCCTGGCTGCTCCCCAGTGGCCTCTCCCACTACAGTGTCTTGTTTCTTGTTACCAGTGGTAACTCCCTGAAGCAGGTTGGCTCCTTTGGGACCAGGGTCCCCAGGGCAGGCACTCAGCACACACTGACCGAATGGGTCTCAGCCCGGCCCCTCCTGAAAAGTCCCCACCAGAGTCCAAAGTCTTTTCCCAGCCCACCACTCTCTAAGGGCCTCAGTCTCCGGGAGCTCAATCACCTCCGTGGCCTCACCTCCTCCCCTGTTCTTCTTACTCCACCTGCCACAGCCACCGGCCTCCTTGCTACGCCTTGGAAGTGCTTCCCCCTCAGGGGCTTTCCACTTGCACTGCCTTCTGCCTGAGGCCTCTTCTTCCTCATACTTAATGGGCCCCTCTCTCACTGAATTCAGACATCTGCTCAAATGTCACCGTAGGCAGGCCTCCCTGCTCTAAAATAGCCTCCTCCCATCCATCTCTTCTCCCAGTCAGCTTTAGTTCATCTTCTTTTTTTTTTTTTTTTTTTTTTTCTGATGAGGCGGAGTCTCACTCTGCGCCGCCCAGGGTGGAATGGCCAGTGGGCCAGATCTCAGCTCACTGCAAGGCTGCGCCTCCCGGTTTACCATTCTCCTGCCTCGCCTCCCAAAGCAGCTGGGATACAGGCGCCCGCTCACTGCTCGCAGCTTAGTTTTTTTTTTTTTTTTATTTTTTAGTGAGGACGGGTTTCCCGTGTAGCCGGATGGTTTGATCTCTGACTTCGTGGATCCGCCAATCTTCTGCCTCCCAAAGTGCTGGATTACAGGCGTTGGAGGCGCGCCCCGGCCTTCGCTTTTTTTTTTTTTTGTGAGATGGAGTCCCGCCCCCGTCAGCCCATGCTAGTGGCTGTGGCGGACTCTCGGCTCACTTCAACCTACGCCTGCCCAGGTTTCAGCAATTGTCGCGGTGCTCGGGCTCCCTAAGTAGGCTGGATAACAGGCGCCTGGGGGCCACCACCCACACTCGGGGCAATTGTGTTTGTTTGTTTTTTGTTGTTTTTTTTTGTGGAGTAGAGTTTCACTCTTGTTGCCTTAGGCCTCAGAGTGACAGTTGGCATATCTCAGGGGCCTCACTGCAACCTCCACCGCCAGGTTCAAGCAATGTGTCGTTCCTCGCCAGTAGCTGGGACTTGCAGGGCAAGCGCCAGCCACACGCTGGCTGAATGTTGTATTCTTTCGGCAGTGGAGACGGGGTTTCACCATGGGTTGGTCAGGCTGGTCTTTGAATCCTGGACCCAGGTGATTCCACCTGCCATTGGCCTCGGAAGTGTGAGTGCTGCGGAATTTA